GACTGAATGAGCATGAATCGAGCGAGGTAAGAAAATCAAGTTGGCTAGTATGTCATCAAAAAGGTATGACTTAATTTTTACATTTCGTATTAAGTCATGGGGCTTTAAAAATGCTCAAGAAATTTGTAAGTTTGAATCTGAATTTTGTCATGAGAATATTCTTTGTGAAAGAACTGAATTTGTTAAATTATTTAAGCATGATGAATGTTTGTTTTGGGAAAAGAGATTGAATTTTCTCGCATACTTTATGTGAAATTTGTTGTTGTGGAAAACAAATGGGGAAAGAGTATGAATTTTTTTTTTTTTTGTCTTTTGGAATTGAATATAGGTTTCATTTGTTAAATCCATTTGAATTGTTGCCAAATTCTATTGAGGATGATATTTTGATTGGAAAACCAAAATCTAAATTTTTTGAAAACATGCATGAATAGGCTTGTAAACCAAATGAAGATCAAATCAAAAAGTTTACGATTCATGTTAATAAGGGCCAAAATGAACTTGAAATTGAATGGACATATTTGATTTGGATATTCATGCAAAGGTCTAAATTGCAACCAAGGGTGAACTCAAAGAAAATATATATCAATTAGAAATATCAAGTAAGTATTATGTTAGCTTAGTTTTCAAAGTTTTTGAAATTTTCCTTATTTGATGAAGGAGACAATTCGAGGACGAATCCTCTTAAAGAGAGAGGGATTGATATGATTCTAGGAGCTAGCCATGGGCTTAAAAACTTTCTAATAGACTTGGTGATTTGTATCCAAACTAAAAGGTTGGACTTGTCTTTTATTTCTAGAATTGAAGTCCAAATTTCAATTGGGCTAGGATTCTTCGTTATATTGCTTGAAGAGTTTTCTTCATTCATTGGGCTTGGGCTTAGTGAATTTTGTCCAAGCTATTAGACTAGTAACAAATACCAAAATTAAAGACCGATTTCATTTTGGGCCATGAGTCGTTGGAGCAAATAGGTTGAGAATATCAAGATTTTGAAGACAATTTGCTACCAAATGAATTAAATGATTAAACTATTCAAAAAGTGTTGTTTTATGTCAAACTTTGTACCAAATTTATAGCTCTAGAATTCCATGAGAATTGCTACTGACTTTAAAATATATTTTTAAGTAATGTTTTATTACTTTATTAGCTTTTAGACAAACATTTATGCCTAATGTTTGTTACAAATTCTAGTAGCCTATTTAGGCAAATACCTATAATCTTTATCAATCAACTTTTATTGAAAAAATATTATTTATGAGAATTCTCTCCTTAGTTCTTCCAAGAAGCGAATTCGGAACTTATCAAGAATTAATCATATTCTTATGACGTTTAATCAACTTATCACTTTTTATCTACCTATCTAGATTGTCACGTCCATACCCTTCTAGATCCGATTTGGCTTTTGGGATTCAAATCAATTTGTTTGTAGGTTCTCTAGCTAGGCGAGTTGGCATCAAATTATCTACCGTAGATAAAGTTAAAGTCACAAATGTTGGTCATGTCACATATTTTCCTTCTTTAGTCTTATTTGATGTACTTGTTTGTTTATATTTTTCACTATAATCTTCTATTTGTGAGCAAGTTAGTAGCATCAAAACACTATGGTTTGATTTTCTCCGGTAATTCTTGGATGATTCGGGACCTTCCTTCATAGAGAATGATTGGACTTACTAAGTTCAACCGGGCTTATTTCTTTTACGACTAATATTATCCACACAATCTACTATTTAATCATTAGGTATATGATTTTCTCTCAATGTCCATTTTAACAAACTTATAGATAAAGCATTTGATTTATGACATTTCAAAAGACATACCTTAGTTGATAAAGTGAGATTTTTACAACAATCCTATTCCAATACAGATTTTAATTTAGATTTTCCTTATACGACCTATCTATTAGCCAAACAAAAAGATTACCATTTCCTGTCAATATTTGAAACACCACAAAACCTTTTGAACTTATACATATGAATATATGAGGTCCATATTCTAAATCGGCCATAGGTAATTTGCATTGCTTTTTTGTTTTTATACGATTGTAGATGATTTCACGAGGACTTATACTTTTTTTTCCTTATGTAACCAAAAACACCTAAGTAGTTCTCGATGAAAACAAAGGGTGGTGTATCACAAATTGTACCTTCTTTTTATAATTTGATAAAAATATAGTTTAACTACTTTATTTTTTTTAATCTTAGATCCGATAATTATCTAGAATTTAATTTGGTTGACTTTTATGAATTTAAAGGTATTATATATCGGATGCCATGTGTAGCTACACCTCGACAAAATGCGGTAGTTGAGAGAAAACATCAATACATTTTAATTGTGGCTAGGTCACTTCTTTTTCAAGCCTCTTTACCAATCAAATTACGGGGTCATATAGTCTTAACTACTACGTACATCATAAATAGACCACTCGAGCCTATACTTCAAAAATCTCATCTTATGAAGCTCTTTTTAAACAATCTCTTTGTTATAATCATGTAATATTATTTGATTCCTTATGTTTTGCCTTTACTCTTGCTCACGGTTAAAAAAAGTTTGAACTAAGAGCATAAACAATATATATTCATTGGATATCCTATTGGTGTCAAAGGATACAAAGCTGTATGATATTCTATCTCATTCTACCTTTGTGTCTAGAGATGTGGTCTTCCATGAAAATATCTTTCCTTATTTTATTGATTTTTGTAGTGATCCTAAAGTTTCTTTTGGTTTGTCATGTTCTAATTCTTTGTTTAATTTTTTCAAAGTTGCAACATAACATAATTTTGTTATTCATCATGATTCTATTAATCCTCTATCAAATAGTTTAAAAAATCATATTTCTTTTAATTCTAATGATGTTTCTTCTTTTTTAAATTCTACACATATTTTTAGTCAAAATAATAGTCGACTATTTCATGCTCATGCGGACCAACTCATTGATCCCGTTGTTTCTCCTATTATACAACTCGATCATTCTTAAAGAAAGAGTCATAGAGCTTCAAAATTGCCAACTTATATTAAGAATTACGAGCTAAATCATTTTGTTTACGTATCGAACAACACCTTATCCTTTATGTCATTATGTCTCCAATGATCATTTGACTTCTTCTTATAGATCTTTCATCGATTCAATTTTTTCCATTTCTAAGCCACGGACATATTCGAAGCTGTGAAGTTTCCTCATTGGATAGAATCTAAGAAATCCGAAATTAATGCTTTAGAGGATAATAAAACTTGGATCGTTGTTCCTTTTCCTTCGGTTAACACTTAATTGGCTTTAAATGGGTTTACAAGATTAAAATGAAATACGATGGTAGTATTGAGAGGCATAAAGCTAGGTTAGTAGTTAAAGGCTATAACCAAATGGAGGGATTTGATTATCAAGAAACGTTTAGCCTCGTGGCTAAACATAATACTGTTAGTCTTATTGGCATCGGTAGTTGCATATAGCTAGCATTTTTCACAATTAGATGTCGACAATGCATTTCTCATTGGTGATCTAGTTGAATCAATGCATATGGATTTGCCCTTAGGTTATCAAGTGCGAGAGGAGTATATACCTAATTCTCGTATGGTTTGCAAACTTCACTAGACAATGGAATTGTAAGTTCACTAATGCATTTTTTAGTTTAGACTTATTCAATCCAAAGTAGATTATTCATTGTTTTTGTAGAAGAAGGGAGAAAATTTTCTTTATTTACTTGTTTATGTAGATGACATAGTTATAGCAAGTAATCATGTTGATGCTATTAATGATTTGAAGAAGTTTTTAAATTACAAATTCAAGATACAAGGCTTGAGAGATTTGAAATATTTTATTGGCATTGAAGTTATAAGATTAGTGAAAGGAATTTCAATCGTCGGAGGAAATATACTTTGGATTTATTGGAAGAATATGGTTTTATTGGTTCAAAACCAATATCAATACTTACGGATCAAAGCTCGTAAGTTGTCAAAGAATAATGAATCAAATTATGTAGATTCTATAATATAAAGACAGTTGGTTGGCAAATTATTGTATTTGAGATTTACAAGGCCTAATATCACATATGCCACACAAGTTTTATCTCAATTTCTTGATAAACCAACGATCATGCACCTATAAGTTGCTCATAGAGCGCTAAGGTATACGAAAAATGCTCCGGGACAAGGCTTACTCGTTCTCAACTGATTCAAAGCCATATCTAACATCATATTCGGATAGTGATTGAGTACAAAACCCAAATACAAGGAGATCGATTCATGAGTTTTTGTGTTTTTTTGTGGAATTCCTTGGTAAGTTGGAAATCAAATAAGCAATCTTTGGTTGCTAGAATTCAACGAAGTAGAGTATAGCTCCATAGTTGCCACAACATGCGAAGTGATTTGGTTGTTATCTCTACTTGTTAGATTTTGGATATTTGAATGATCAACTAGTAAAGCTTCATTGTAATGACATGTCGGCTTTACATATCTGCAAAAATCCAGTGTTTCATGAAAAGGACAAAACACATAAAGATTGACTGTTATTTTGTGAGAGAAAAGGTTATCACAGGAGTTATTAAACTAGAGTTTTTGCCTACACATTTGCAGATTGTAGATATGTTTATAACGTAAATCCAGGCCAGTTCAAGTTGCCTCTAGAATCCATTTTTCTCGGCAAAAAAAATTGATTTGAATGGTCATGTTTGTAACTGCAATGACAAGGTTTGGTTCTGTTCATAATTCCGTTGCATTCTATTCGAAGCATACCAAATTGCTCTCATAAGTTTGTTTTACATGCGTTACTTCTCATTTCTAGAATCACATTAAATGAGTTGAAACCGAGTTTAGTTTTAATTGTCCATTCCTTTTCCAAGCTTCATTAATGGGTGTTAATGAACTAGTTATTCAGGCATCTTCATTGCATTTATAAAAAAAGTCTGTACCCTCTGACATATTATGCATATTCCCCCTTTTACCAATTAATAGCTATAAATCTCTCCCTCTCTCTCGGTAGAACAATAAATCTTTCTTCATTGATTGCAACAATGGAGTTCTGGTTGTTACTGATTGCATTTCTTTGCTTGTGTGCTTTTTTTCTATCATTTCTTGATCTCTCCCATAATAACAAAAACTTGCCACCAGGGCCCCCTTCCTTACCCGTCCTAGGAAACTTTTTATGGCTTCTGAAATCCTCCAGGAATTTTTCTTCCTTGGAGCCTGTTCTTCGCCAACTACGTGCTCAATACGGCCCTATCATTACTCTACGCCTGGGATCCCAGCCTTCCATTTTCATAACCACCCCCGAAGCTGCCCATAAGGCACTTGCACAAAGTGGCCCAATCTTTGCAAGTCGTCCACCAGCTCTTGAGACAACCCGAATCATGTTAAGCAACGAAACTACTGTGACTACTGCACCTTATGGACCACTGTGGCTCCAACTTCGTCAAAATTTCATGTCTGTTTTTCACCCTTCACGCTTGCATATGTATTCTGATGGTCGAAAATGGGCATTAAACATACTCAGGAACAAACTACTGGAAGAAGCAGGAGCGGACCACAAAGCAATTGTTGTTGTAGATCATTTTCAACATGCCGTGTTTTGCTTGCTAATCTATCTGTGCTTTGGTGAGAAATATGAAGAGAGTGTTATTCGACAGATTACAGCAGTGCAACGTTCTATCATCACAAATTTTGTGAAGTTTAATTTGCTTAATTTCATTCCTAAGTTGGGAAGGATTGTGTTTCGCAAGTTATGGAAAGAACTTCTAGAGATTCGCCGCGAACTAGAGAACGTCCTCCTTCCTCTCGTTGACGCACGACGAGAAAAAAGGCATAAGAAATTTAAGGATGAAGAAGGAGAAGAAAGCATTTTGTCCTATGTTGATACCTTGATAGATTTTCAGTTTCCAGATGGTGGAAGAAAGTATTCGGATGAAGAATTGGTGAGTTTGTGTTCGGAGTTTTTTCATGGTGGGACAGACACTTCAATAACTACATTACAATGGGCCATGGCTAATATAGTTAAGCACCAACACATACAAGAAAAGTTGCTTAAAGAAATCAACGCTGCAGTAAAACCAGGAGAAGAGATCAAAGAGGAGGATTTGAAGAGAATGCCGTATTTGAAGGCTGTAATTTTGGAAACTCTTCGACGACACCCGCCAGGACACTTTATACTCCCGCATGGGGTCACGGAAGACACGAAACTGGAAGGTTATGATGTACCCAGAAATTCGATAATTAATTTTACTGTTGCAGACATGGCATGGGATGCAAATGTGTGGGAAGATCCAATGGAATTTAGGCCAGAGAGGTTCTTGAAAAATGGGGATGATAAAGAGGTAGTGTATGATATGAAGGGTATAAAAGAGATCAAAATGATGCCTTTTGGTGCTGGTAGGAGAGCTTGCCCTGCTATTACCATGGCATTACTTCACCAAGAATACTTTGTGGCCAATTTGGTTAGAGACTTTACATGGACTGCTGAAACTGGTTGCGACATTGATTTATCAGAGAAACAGGATTTTACTATGGTCATGAAGAATCCACTTCGTGTACACATTTCCCCAAGAACACCTTAAAGATGATTTTAATATTGAAGTGATTGGCATGCTCCTTTTTTCCTTGGTTTTTCTTAGCACTTGAACTAAACTTTCTTAGCAGTGTTTTTGAAGAAAATAATGCAAGGGATGTAAGATGGTTTTCAACGCAACTAGTAACATAAGGAAATCGTATGAGAATATGCATCATTAGCTTCCACGGTTCTGGAAAATGCCAAGCCTTCAGAATTTGGCAAGGGAAATCGCATATTAGCATATAAGAGTTCGTTTTTTTTTTTTTTGGCCTTAGGCAGATTGAAATAACTACTATACAAGTTTTTTTTGCCGATCTTCTGCATCCTATTCCCTGTAAAAGTTACCTAAATTTAGCATAGTCATTTGTATCCTCGCAAATGGGTCATAATTGGTTGGTTTCTGCGCCTGGCCAGCGAAGAAAAGGATGACGAAGAGGTAGATGACAAAGCATATGTTGAAAATGTTCAAAATTTTCCAATCATCCCTCACTTGATGGAGATATCTAGCCTTCCGAGTTCCACAATCGTAGCATAGAGTGCGCTAGCTATTCTTCCTTGAAAGGCATTCATCACCTTTAGAACCCAGGCTTGATTTCAGGGCATCCCAAAATGTCGCATTCTTGAACTTGTACCCACAATTATTTGGTGGCATGCAGCGGCCTGACTGGAAAAGGGCAAAAGGCACGATTTAACTTACTCTAACATAATATTAAAGTTAGTGAACAATTTGGTAGAGATCGTTTAATACCTCAACAAGAAGCAACATCCCAGCAAGACATCGACATGTAAGGCAGAGGACTTTTCGGCATAGTCCTGACAAACTCTGGCCTCGATTAAACACTTCTTGATACTGACCTATTTTTTTTTTTTTTCATTTACCAGATGACTTTGCAACCAACCTGAAAAATCCTGAAGCTTAATCTGATCTCTACCTGAATCTGTCTCCTTGAAACCCTTATTTGTTCCGAGTGAGGAGAATATTTTAAAACCAACTAGAACAATTACAAGCAAAAACATTGCCCACGTATACACTTGGTGAAGGGGCGTTGCTCGACAAAACAAAGCCATCAATCCTAGGATCGATATAACCAAAAGAGGCACTCCTAATATGAGGATTGGTACTTGTAAGAAGCTTGCACAATTCGATCGCATTGTCATAGAAATCGATGATTTCCCATGTATCAGAAACTTGAACCACCATAGCCAATGAAATCAAGAGGGCTAGAATGTTTAAAGATCGAAGTAAATAATCACCTTTTCTTGCCATTCCAATGACATTGTAGAATGAAATTCTGAAAGAAAGGAAATGATATAAGATGATGCTTGCAGATTTGAGGCATGTAAAAGACTAGGACAGTATCCTTGTTAGAGAAACACAAAATCAAATCAGAATAACATGAAAAATACTTTGAAGCTTCCAGGATCTATAAGTTGAAGAATTTTGACAGCCCATAGCCGGTAGTTTTCACAAGTGAAACCAGGAAGTTGAACAAGAGAAAAATTGTTTTTGCACGTGTAATGAGAGTTAGAAAAGAAAGGTGTTTATTTTGAAATACTCACACTCAATGCACTCTAGGATTGCACATAGATCTCTTATAAAGGGGGCTCTGATACAATATGTTTGTTTTTTTAAATTAAACTGTTTAGTGAAATAACACAAGCAAGTGACTGAAAAAATCACAATATTTCATTGACCAAAATGATTTAAATACATAAAGAAAATAAAAATAAATCCAAAAAATATAATGATCATGGTCCATAAACAAAAAAGCAACTAAATTCAGCAGAAAAACATAAAAAATTAATGTAGTAACATGCTACCACTAATCCTATAAAATAGGTCTTCAGTTGCAGGACATGTCTTCAGCAGCTTGAGCCTCAAGATCAGCAAATATTCCTGGACTCTTTCAAGCTTTATTTTCACATTTAACACGTCGCAACTTACTTAAAATGACATCTGCACTTGATTATTACAACTGTAACACAACTTTCCAATAGCTTTAGAGGCATCTCTTTAACAACCATATATATAATATTTGACTTAGAGAGTACAGAGATCACATTGGATGGAAAATAAATATTATTTTCTACTAATATATTTTATGTGTATATTTATGAGATTATTTACATATTGATTCGTACTGTATTTTGTAGTTTACGATTACCTATCAAATGTTGTTATTTAAAGTCAAGAATTTTGATCATGTTGAAAATTAATATTTGTGACACGGATCATGCTTGTTAATTTATTTGTGTGAATTTTCTTATTGATACAAATTTAAATAATTTAAGGAATGATTTATAAATTAATTTATATTGTTCAATGATAATTGACATTAAAAGTACTTGTTTTGTTGTGATGTCATGTGACCAAAATAAATGGGAAGTCAACGAAAAAATATATCCAATATTTTTATATGGATATATTGATCATTTTGGATGCAAAGTCAAGGAAATCAAATTTATATGGCATTTGAGGCAATGAAAGCTTGGTCAATAAAAAGCATTTCAAGTCTCCAACGGTACTTACTATACAATAAGTATAAAAAGTCAAGTAAATATTTTAACTGTCAAATTATTAAAGCTCTTTGATTTTTTACTTTATATATTTGAAATTTACTTTTGATGACAAAAGTATGTGATACTTGTATTTACAAGTAATTTTATATTATTGTATGGATATTTATTGGCCCATACTTGAGTTTTTTTAATCTATAAATTGTGATCAAAAAAAAAATGGAGGGGGAAATGTGAATTATCATATGAAATCTTGTTATTGAATATTTTGTAAATTAAAGATTACCAAAAGGTTGGTTCACATGATTGATTTATTAATATTTGAAAGATCATGTATTAATATAATTTAAATCAATTATGATTGAAAGCTAATTATTTTTATGTGATTTCTATTTAAGTTGTCATTATAATTTATGTTTGACAACCATATCAAATTGACATAGCGAAAACTCACAAGAAAGAAAAAATAAATACTGTTGATATGATATTCGGATGCATATCTACTATAATCTATTGATTTGCACACAAATACCGGGGAATAGGCTTCAATTCCATTGATTCAAAGAATGTTGATAATTGAAAAAACCGAGATACTCTCTCACAAAATTCATTAATCAAGCAAAAGTGATGTTTTTCAGCCTAAACGTCTTACATAAATAGTAAATTTTACGTCAAAACCCTAAATAAATTTGAAAAGGAAACAAACACTAAAAATTCGAAATTAAGTAGGAAAAATCCAAAAAACTCGCGACTTGTATGGACAAAATAATAGATTGACAATTTGAGGGCCTAAACGACGTTTTTGCAAAAATAACACGTACGTCATGGAAAAAGCCGATAAGTTTTTATCGTTGGCCCGTTTCGCATCGAATTAGGTCTAAAAACCCCCAAAATCAGCCCAAAAATCCCAACTCACATCACCATACCCTAACGTGTTGCTCCATAAATTCCAAGGCCTTTTGGTCCACATCACAAATTGTGAAAATAAAAAAATTGTGAAAATAATAATTTTGTTAGCTGATTATTAGTAAGATAAATTGGCAAGGTACATGAATTAATAAAGAGCTTATCATGTAATATTTTCGATGTGGAAAATAAAATTTGATATTTTATCTTATTTTAAAGAAATATATCTTATTGATTGGTTGGCCACAAGAAATAAATTGTAAATGTTGATGATGAAATAATATAATAATTCATGTCATCATTTTGTCTACGAGTGGTAGTAAGAAAATTATTCATTATGTGAACGAGTGGGGGCATAAAAAATGCTATTGCGTTAAAATGTTATTTGAGAAAATTATTATGTAATTCAAGATAAATTATCATGATTTTCTCGTGATGATAAATTATCGATCGTAATTTTTCTTATGATGTTTGAATTTTTTTACCATATGCAAATTTTTAATGTGATGCTATTGGAAGCAATTATAAAAGTATTACTATTATACAAAAGGTATAATGATACTTTTGAAATATTTATAAAAGCATACCTATTATACAAAAGGTATAATGATGCTTATAAAATATTTGATAAAAGCATTCCCATTATACAAAAGGTATAACGATGCTTATGGAATATTTGGCAAAAATATTGAGAGAATTGATGGAATTAGTGACACTCATATTGTACAATTAAGTTATAATGGTGTTTTGATTATATTATCCGATAAGTGAAATTAAAGACACTCCTATCGTATAATTAAGATACAATAGTGTTGTAATGATATTATCTAATAAGACAATTGATGATATTTTAAAAAATTTAAATCTTTAACTAAATATTGACATTCCTATTGTATAGATGAGATATAATTATGTCAAATTTATATGAGAAATTAGAGATCGAGAAAATGTCCATGTTCACTTTAATGTGATTATATAAATTATTTTCCATTGTATTGGAAAATACAATGATGCCATCATGTTTCAAGCACAATGATAGGGATGTGAAAAATAAATATGATTACAATTGCTTCATGTATGTGCTGAAAATTAAATGGCTAAAAAGTCAAAGCCAATGAAAAAACAAGTGGAGGTTATGCTTTGTCTAAAATAATAAGGATGAAAAATTCCTACCACTTGTCTTAGCACTAATAGATTGATTAAGTGCTAGTTACCTAATCCTTTGGGTGAATATTGAATGTTGTGGGAGTGAATCTTTAACTAAAGTCAAAGGATTAGATGATACATCGAGGAAGATGAGACGAAGCCCATAAATGAATAAAATCACCTATATGAATACTCTACCTAAAAGCTATAGATCCCAAGAACTAGGTTCAAGGAGAAGAACAAGTATAGAGTAGTTTGATTACATGCATAATTTATTTGAGTTTACAATACCTATATGTCTATTCCTATGGGGTAGTGCATGAATCCTATCACGAAAGAAACGTTAAGTTTCTTTAAATGAAATTTTTAATATGGTTTATAGTTCTTTTTGAATGAGATATTAGAATTATGAGAGCATCCATGATAGACACACCCGTATGAGTGAGTAAGTGGGACTGCTTGGGACTCGCTTCCTATAAGAATCGGGCACTTATAGAAGTTGAGATCAAGCACAAGGTCGTTAATGTGCTAGCTACGAAATACCTCACGAGTACTCGAATATAATATATGTGATACAATATTTGTTTCACTTAAAAAACCTTAGTTCAAGATAATGTTCACTATTAGCTTGAGAGAAATATTATTGAAACATTAAGTAAGGGTTCGAGCTATTAGCACCTTTATTATGTATTATATTTATTTTCTTGCCCAAAAATATGGCTAATATTTTATTAAAAAATAAGTGAGAGATTGTTGAAATATTTTTTATTTAAATATTAAAAAACTACATTATTATATTGTTTGTTGAAAAATAAAACTTACAAGGTACTATGACTATTTTAAAAACAATCATAAAAAGAGTACATGATTGTTTCAAAACAGTCATATTTGGTTTAATTTAATATTAAAAGAAATGGTTTAAAGCCGTTAGTGTGATGGTATTAAAATTGTTATTCATTTCAATATTTATTTCTTCAAACGACTCTCTTCTTATGGCCTATAAATATGACATTTTTCTTGTCATTTAAAAAAGAACAATACTTTTGACTTGGTGTGGAGGGAAAAAATAAATGTCTTTTTTTTTTTTTTTTTTTTTGCTTTAGAGAGAAAGATATATAGCAATCTTATATATATTGCTTATATGTTTTGTAATTTTTATCCTCCTATCAAAAGCCATATTGTTTTATTTTATTTGGGTAAGAGCGGTATTATTATTTTTAGAGTTTCAAGTCTTACAAATAGTGCAAATTTGTTAAGACATGACAAGGTGGTTGAGCTTGTTGTATCCACGAGATGTCATGCTATATATTCTTAATTTGTTACTTCGGATAATTTTTGTGAATGATGCATATCATTGCAAGAAAAGAACCTAGTTGTGTCTCGAGCCAATCACTCGAAAAGTTCTTATATAAAGCAATGTTGTTGGTTCGATCATCTTTACACCGTGAAATATGATAATGTGATTTTAATCTCAAATTCTTTGACGATGAAGGTAAAAAGTTTCAATTCTTTATTTATTTTAATTTACAATAAATTTATTTATTTATTGCATAAATTTTATTTTTTTAATTATGTTTTTTTTTTTTTTTTTTTTGTGCTAGGAACAACATATTTTCTATATGCAATTAAGCACTTGTGTTTTCTTGCCTTCATTTTTCGAATATCTAAAACTCTAATTTTCTAGTCAACGGTAATATAAAGTTGAATCCTAGAGGTGAATTAATGTCAAAATCCCTACATAATTATAGCGATGGTAATAATCACTTTAAGGACGAGTGTAAGAATATTTTATGCATGCAATTAAGCACTATATTTTCTTGCTTTTATTTCCGTATTTCTGCAACTCTAATTTTCTAGTCAACAATATATATAGAACTATATATAAAATGGTGGTACGTAGTTGTCAACTAGTAGTATATTTTATACAAAATGATTCATTGTTGCATCGAATCATTAATTTTTCGTTGATGATATATGTATGTTGTGGACTACAACAGGCTTTGGAAGGAGCAGGGATGAGAGAAGGAGTTCAACTGGCTACTAAATTTGGTTTCAGTTATGTGGATGGTACTGAGTGGGAGGAGACAGAAAGTGGGCTGTAGGCTGATGAACATAAATTCTTTTAAGGATTGTGCTAGAATAGATTGCGTCTATGATCTATATCCGAAACTGATATGTTGTTATTTAGTTTGCTTTGGTGCCAAAAACAAATCCGTTGTGAAACATCGAAGGGACTTGCCAGTCGCCCTAAAACAGGACACAGCCTATTTGTGGTAATCCTGCCAGGCATATAAAAGTATGAGTCCGATTTTTAAAATTTTGCCAGTGTTTGATTTGTACCTACTGAATGGCTCAAACCAAACTCGATGGAGCTGTATACTAGAGATGTTAATCGACTGGATATCTGGAGAATTAATTTAATTTTTTATTATATTCATTGAAAATATAATATCTATATCCACTGAGAAATTGTTTTATAAATTTATATCTGGTTATTTATCTATTTAATATTCATTTAATACTGATAAAAAATAATTTATCAAAATATTTTATTTTAACCCTTGTAATTTTAAATATAATTTTGTTCTTTAACTTTTCTTTTTATTTTTTTTTGCAATTTGGTTCTTTATTTATAAGTTTTTTGGTCCTTAAAGTTCTCATAAAAATATTTTGATTTTTATTTTATAAAGTTTGTACAATTAGTTTTATGTATATTTAAATTTTTTTTGAAATATATTAATGGGTATCAGTAGGATAATAAATGAGAACCATACTCTATAGTCATATTAAAATAAATGTATTTTTTATTCTTATAGGTCTTAATATTTATTAAGTATTTTTAATGCATATTTATTGAGTCAGACAGAACTAATACTCTCTTTATACCCGCCTCATTACCTTTCTTATATATACCTCAAGTTCAGCTATACGCATGTATGGAAAAATATCATAATAGGCTCCTTTCCCTCTAGCATTAATTATGCTTTTGATCCACATGAATTCCGTCAGTTTAATACTTTTTATTGTTGCAAGGCACATGTGATCTTACCTAGTCTGCCAAGTAAAAATTGATTGATAAAATTAGTAGCTAATGGGTGATCATTTGATATTTTAGTTTGGTTTTTAACATTTCGGTAGGGTTTGTAGTTAATCAAAATCACAAAAGAGTAAGCTCGTACTGAATTACTGTATATAATTAATTCGGTTTTTGAAATCAAAATTTTGGTTTTTGAGTTTGGTTTTTCGGTTAAAATCAATTTTTTCAATTTTTTTTTTAATTTTTAAAATAATGTGAATATGCCAAAAAAAATTATGTTAAGAGTCCTTCTATTAGTCTAAATTAATTATCTAAATTAGCCTATATAAAAGATAATAGATATTTCTTTAAATAAGACTACAGTATAAAATTATATCACGTAATAAAATATTAATTTAAATACAAGTCTTTTAACTCACATCTAAAATATATTATGATAAAAAAATTAATTATTCAAACATATTATACTATGAACTACCAAAGTTTGTAAAAAAAAAAAAAGATCAGTTTTGATGAAAATGTAATGACCAAAAAGTTGCAAAACCAAATTGAAACCAAATATATATATATATATATATATATATTTGGTAAATACTCCTCACCTCTGCTGCTGTAGAAAGTTCTCTCTGTTTGTTTTTGTTTTTGTTTTTTTTTTTTTTTTTTTGCAATGGCGTACGTCATCAAATTCAATGTAAAAGGTACATGCAATCCTGATTGGACCCAATTTTAGAAAAATCTTAACGAGGATCAGTGTTTTGGATTCATAATTACAATTTCATATTTAAAGAAAAATCTTATTTCTTATAATATGATAGATTTTAATTTATTTCGTATAATAATACATCGTATGTCAAATAAGATTCATTTCAATTAAATATATTGACACATCAATTTTATTTTATTTTCATTGACAAATATACTCAAAAACCGTTTCTATTGTATTTAAATTAGGAGCATATCATTTTTAATTAATCAAACGGTGTGTTTTACTTTTGTTTTCATGAGTGCCTTTGCTTTCTTAAATCGAAAAAACCTTTTTCTTAATCACTAGACTTTTCTTTTCCTTTGATTCTAGTTAGTTAATCTGTCAAAGTTGATTTTAGAGGTAATTATTTTTATTTTTTATTTTTTTGTGCAATAAGGGCTGGAGATTAATGATTTAAGGTTTGGAATTTAAGCATGAAGGGATTAAATTCATGCTTAAGGTTTATGGTTCAAATGATTCTTAAATTGGATTTATAAGCTAGATATGATTTTTTTATGTAGCTATGATTCTTAAATTAGCTTTAGTATGTACTCTGAATCAAAGCAAATTGACGGAAAAAAATAACTTCACAATAATAAAAAGATACTCAATTTGTCGTTTTTATCTTTGGAACAGCAGAATTTGACCTTACAAACAAAGGTTTCCTCCCCCACAGCTGATGCCTCTTTCCTTCCCATGCTGCTTTCCCTTATTGCAAGCGATTAATTAACCAAATTTGCAGTAAAAGTTAGAGTAATTCATTTTGGCACTCATAAAAACAAGAGTAAAACATACCGTTTGATTAATTAAAATTGGTGTGCCTGTGATTTAAATACAATAGAAATGATTTTTGAATATATTTGTTAATGGAAAAAATAAAATTGATATGTAAATATATTTAATTGAAATGACTCCTACTTTGCATATAGTGTCTTATTATGAAAAATAAGTATAAAACTATCATATTATAAGAAATAAGATTTAAAAATATCTTATTATGGAAAAAATTCAAAAAATCTCAACTGTTTAATTCTTATCTATTCAGCAAATAATTCAAAATATATACTAAAAGACAACTTTCTTTATTTGGCACTAAAAACAGAAATGCCATTATAAACATCAAACCCTAGCCACCGTTAACAAGAAATGCCATCGACTAAAGGGGTCTTGGGTCCTCTCATGTGCTTAAGAACATGATAGGTTGTGTTCTTCAAATCCAAGCCTTTGGATCCAAATCAATGGCTAAAGGATTGTAATTACACCATGAAAAATGAAGAGGAGAAGAAAAGATGTCAACCTCAAAGGTAGCAGAGATGATGCCAAAACTAAAGAAGGAGATGATTACCAGTCCAAATCAGCAATACCCATTCAAAACCTCATCGATATACTCTCTAGGCTACCCTTCAAAACCATTTTCAATTGCATGTGTGTATGCAAGAAATGGAAGGATCTTATATCAGACCCTGAATTTGGCAAACTGCACCACAGTAGAGCGCCTGGCTCTCTCATTCTTCGATCCCACAGACATGGACGTCGTCGCAGCCCTAGAAGCCTTTGCTTACTCGATCTAGAAGCCTCTGACATATGCAGTCCTGATGCAGTAGTGAAGTTCAGTCCCGACTTCGGTCTCCCAATTGGAAACTTTGAAGTTGTAAACACCTGTAATGGATTGATATGCATACGCCGTTTTCAGTCACCAAACCACATTAGCATACTCAATCCTCTTTTGGGTGATTATATCACCCTACCTCTAACGAAGAAGAAACACAAGTCTTATCTTTTTTCCTGGTTTGGGCATAGTCCCAAGACTGATGAGTACAAGGTGATCCAGTTCGTTCATCAGCCATTGAAATTGGAGGTTGAGATACACAGTTGGAAAAAGATACATGGACAAGCATTAATGAAGGTACCATTAGTCCTCCAATAGATATGAGATGTCATGATGCATTTGTAGGGGGGTGTCTCAATTGGATAGTTGATGACCCTTCCAAACAAGAATTTATATTCGGTCTTGATATTGGGCGTGAGCTGTTTCAATTAGTTCCAGCACCTCCTCACCTTGGGCCTGATGACAAGGACAGGACCGAGGACATGATGCTAGGGGTATTAGGAGGATGCCTCTACTTTTTTGAGTATCCTCTTGGTGACCATTTTGATATATGGGTGATGAAGCAATATGGTGTTCAGGAGTCTTGGACTAAGGAATTCATTATAAAGAATCCAAGCACGGATATCATATGGTATTGGAACTTGTATCGACCCATAAGTTTGCTGATTAATGGGGAAATCTTGATGTCCCATAAATCCAAGGCTATGGTTTCCTATAATCCAGAAGACAGAAGCTTCAGATTTCTTAAAATTCATGGGATTCAAAATTTTGAAGCCAATCCTTATGTACCGAGCTTTCTTTCACTGAGGGACATTGTTAAGGGAGAAAATATCAGTGTGTCAAACATACACTCAGGACAAGGATATATTTCGAAAAAGAACATAACTGTGTTTGAGTTAACTAAGGACCCTCTTATTCATTGAAACTGTACACCATTCTGTCGGCGCCTGTTTTTTATTGATACAACCTCTTAATTTATTAATATGCACACTGTGTACTCTTTACTTTTGCTTGAAATTCTTCTGATAGCAGATTCAAATTCCATTCTCCGTGTCTCACAATGGAGAGAGATTTAGAAAGAATGAGAGAGAATCCTCAAGAATACAGGAAAAGGTTTGCATAGATTAGCAAAATATGAACAAGGGTAGGAACCATTCAACCACAACCTAAATAAGCCTCGAATCCAAAAGTCATCACAAGCATGGAGAACCGAGATTAGTAATATAAACAGAAAAATCACATTTAAGGCTCCTGGGTTACATTTAGGTGGTTTCTTAATCAAATATCTACGAGTTCTAAGATAACCATTAACACAATCATTAATATTTGCCACCAAAAAGCAGAATCTATCTCATTAGGAAACAAAAATAAAACAAACAAAACAAAACAAAACCGGTTGTTTATTGTTTCAAATACTGTTTATTGCGAGTAAAAATGCTATGGATATAGACTCAACCAGACTATTCCTTTCACTGTTTGGGCTGGGTTTTTGCATCGTTGCCCTTCATTTTTTCCTCAGATTTTAATGTTTTCTTCTTGACCGTTTGATTCTTCTTGCTCTTTTTTTTTTTTTTAATTCATTCTATTGTTCGTATTTCTCCTCTCTTTTTTTCCTTTGTTCTGGTGTTTCTTTTTTGCCTCCGGATCGTTTGATCTTTATTTTTCTTCTTCTTTTGTTGCCTCGCAATTGTTTAATCTTTATTTTTCTTTTTGGCCGTTGGATTTTTTTTATCGGTGTCACGACCCCGAAGTGGGCTATGATTAACGTGAGAATCGAGAGAACCGTGGGCCCAACTCGACTTAAGCAAGCCTTGAATATCTAAACTAACAAACTAGTATCACATCAAATATCATTTTTAATTTACAATATCACAACCTAACGAGTTTGTACTTAACTCCAACACAATGATAATTTCATAGTATTCTTGTATTTTTCAAAAATAATATCTATTAATCAATTTCTAATACAACTCCTACAAGTATAACTGCGATTTGCTTATAAAGAATATAACAAAATCAAATCACAAGTCCAAGAGATTACAAGTAGATAAGTCGCACGATCGATGTGACGACTTTAAGACAAGCGAGTTTAGTAAAAGTAAAAAGGCAATCTCACAATTCAGACAAACTCGAAATGGTGGAGTGTGAAAAAATTAACGACTCAATGAGTAGATACTATACAAAATATCTAAGAAAAAGAAATAGACTAAAAATGATAATTTAAAACCTACTCAAGATGTAATATTCATTTCTCAAAGTCAAATGTGTATGTATATGTGTATATATATATATCATATCTTAAATAGTTCAAATCCAAATCATATCAAATCATCAAAATATATAAATCACAGAATAAAATTAAATCAAATATCTAAATTTACCCTTTGAGTGAAACAAACATAACATATTATTGGATGCAAACACCCAAAAACTACACCTCCCATAGCTAGGTTTTCGTATGGTGGGTCGATATACGGACTAGCACTTCGTACCTCACTAGTCGGAGCATTTTCATATCGGTGAGCTTACAAGCTATGCCTCTCGTAACTAAGTACCCTAAGATAACCAATCAAATAAAAAATCACATAAACTTATACATATTACAAAATATCCAAATCCAAGCATATCAAATACAATTCATACTTAAAATTAGATTTGATAATGCAATTCAATATTAAATAAACACTCACTAAAAATATATGAATAAATCAAAATAAATAATCTAAATTAAATTAGTATCTAAATCCATAATCATTTATCAAACCATAAGTAAAGCAAACATATATGCAAAACCCTTTTTAAAATCATATCAAACCATTTTCAATATGAAATCATTTCAAATGCATAAGGGGTCCATTTCAGTCTAAGTTTTAATGAATGTGCTTGTATCTTAGTTAAATCAATGATGCATGATAAATATATCGAAGGAATTTAAAAACATAATATGCTATAATAGTATCCACTCACAATACAATCAAAGGATCGAATGAAATAAAGGTTGTTAAGATGGAGTCGCCCACTCTAAAAATCTAATAATACATGGTAGAATAATCACCAATATCACATATCGAAGAATAATTTAGAACAAATGAATTATTTTAGAAATCGGGATACATGATAATTTATAAGAATGAAATTGATCAAAAAGATTGAAATTGTTAACTCTATCTAAACTTTTACTCTCCGAACCAATTCTAAACAATTACGCTTTACTACTAATAATCATCCATCACCAATTCTCAACCAATCTTCATATATAACGTCTTTTCTCTATAACTCATCATCCTAACCAAATTAAGAATTTTTCAATTAAATCATCAATTCTATTCTAATTCACTCAATTCTCATTTGATTCATCTTTAATTATATTTATATAACTTAATTCTTTATCTTTCGTAAATTACTTTCAATTCAAAACCCAAATTTTGAATTTTACTATTCATCATCTTCAACCTCTCAAATTTACCTAATTCAACTTCATAAATCACTAACCCAAAAGAATTAAACATCATTTAATCCCTTAGAATTGCTTAATCAACTTTTTTTCCAAACGGGTCTCAAAAACCCTAACACAAAGCTAACTAAATTCTTCATTCCAACAACAAACCCAATACAAGTTAACCTCAAAATAATCAATAACACCTATAAATATCTTCATTTAAAAACCAAATGACAAAAATTCTTACCTTTGACAATTGGCTCTTCAACCCCAATTTTTATCCTAAACCCTCCAAGCATTCCAAGCTTTAATCTAGCTAAACTCCACATTAATCAACTTATTTTTTGGTTTCTCTAAATTAATTAGGCAAGGTTTTAACTTAAAATTCGGAGGAGGGAAATGTGAGGAAGTAGAGAGTGAATGAGGAACAGAAGAAAAGGGAAGAAGAAAGAAAAAATGAAGGACAACAAGATGTCTCAATTTTTTTCTTATATAGTACCTAAAAATATTTTTTTAAAATCATATTTTTAGGATGGGTTATTATATCATTCCCCCTTAAAATAAATTCATCATCGAATGTAATTCTAGCCATACCTTAGTAAGTGAACAAGTGAGGATATTTGCTCTTCATTTCTTCATCGGCCTCTCAAGTGCTCTCTTCGATCGAATGGTTCCTCCAAATGACCTTAATGAACATAATTTCTTTATTGTGAAATTTCTTAACTTAATGGTATACTATTGCCATCGGTTGCTTCTTAAGTGATAAATCGAGTCTTAAATCCATTAATTTCGATTCTAAGATATGAGACGAGTCGAGTACATATTTTTTTTAGCATGGAAATATGGAACATAAGATGTAAAATTAAAAACTATGGCGGCAATGCTAACTCATAAGCCACTACTCCAATTCGACTAATGATCTCAAATAGTCTAATATACATCGGGCTCAACTTTTCCTCTCGTTGAACCACATTACTCCTTTCATCGAAGAAACTCAAAAAAACACAAAATCACCATTTTGAAATTCCATATGTCTCCTTTTAGAGTCTATATAACTTTTTTATCTACTATGAGCAATCCTAATGTATTCTTGAATGAACTTTACTTGCTCGGTAGTAAGCTAAATTAACTACGGCCTTAAAGGTTCCTTTTCCTTAGCTTTTATTTAACATATTAGCGATCTATATTTTCGACCATATAAAGCCTTATATGGTGCCATATCAATATTAGAGTGATAATTATTAGTGTGTGAGAATTTGATCGGTGGCAAATAATAATCCCAATTGCCTCTTAGATCCATCATACATGCTTTAAGTATATACTCTAAGGTTTGAATTGTTCTTTCTAATTGACCATCTATTTGAGGATGGAATGTCGTACTAAAGTATAATCTTATACTAATAGCCTCTTGTAATTTCTTCCGGAATTAAGAAGTAAATAGAGTACCTTAATTTGAAATGATGGAAACTGGAATGTCATGTAAGGATATTATCCGATCAATATATAATTGGGTATATTGAGCATACCTATAGGTGGTCTTTATCGATAGGAAATGAGTGAACTTAGTTAATCTATCCATAATAACCCAAATCAAATCATACCCTTCTTAGGTTCAAGGTAAACCCATTACAAAATCCATTATCACTCTCTCCCACTTCCACTACGATAGTGGCAACTCTTGCAATTTTTCTACTAGCTTCGGTGCTCATATTTTATTTGTTGACAAGTCAAATATCGTGAAACAAAAACAAACTCTATAATATCTTTCTTTATTCCAATCCACTAACGAGTGCTCACAAAGATCATTACATATCTTGACATAGTGGAGTGTGAGAAAATCAACAACTCGGTGAGTAGATATAATATAACATATCTAAGGAAGGGAAATAGACTTAGAATGATAATTTAAAATCTACTCAAGACAATACTTATTTCTCAAGTCAAATACATATTATAAATATCAATCATATATCATATCTTAAATACTTCAAATCCAAATCATATCACACGTCAAAATCTACATATAGAATGATCAAATCAAATCAAGTATCTAAATTTATACATAGGGTGAAACAAATAAAAAGTATCATTAGATGCGAGCACTCAAAGGCCACGCCCCGTGATTAGGTATACTTGTGTGTTGACATACACACGGGTTAGTACTACACCTCTCTTGTTAGCCGAAGCATTTTATATTAGTGAGCTCACAAGCTACACCCAAATAGCTAGGTACCCCAAGGTAACTAATCAAATCAAAAATCACATAAACTTATACATATTCCAAAAATTTCCAAATCCAACATCAAATACAATTCATACTCAAAATAAAATTTGATGATGCAATTCAATATCAAACCTCATACTCATAATTTAATCTCAAATACAAATTTATATTAAGAATTATAAATTAAAAATACTTACTAAAACTATACAAATAAATCAAAATCAAGAATCTAAATTAACTAGTAATTAAATTCATAAACA